GACCGTAATGAAGGTTAATAATTAGGTATAATTAATTGCTAAATTAATAAATAAATAATAGCGATAGATTCAATAAACATTATAATGCTTAATTTTATAATCTTTTAAACAATAGCAGGTTTTATTGAATTGCCCACGCAAGCACAATTATTTAGTACATATGTATAAACCGAGTTCGGATGTAAATGCTCCGAAACAGTGTTCCAACGGGTTTTTGAGCACAAGCTGACCGGTTGGAGCAGGATAACATCCCTAATTTTTATGTTAACATGACTGTCAAAAAGGGTAAAGTTTTATATATATTTAGAATGCAAATTAAATTCTTACAAAGAGTAACCTTAACAAAAAATACTAAAATAAACGTCACATAATTTAGTAAGCAAATGACTAATTTAAAAATTTTTATTAAACCAGTTTAATAATTATAATTATACAAAAAAAAAAATAAATACAGATTATTAAGACTAAATCTTGATACTTACAACCTAATTTTAAAATTAGAAAATATTAAAAAAAAACTCAACACTATAGTTATACAAATTTTACTAAAGTTGTGACTTAAAATTTCGCCCTTCAAGAGTTCACTACAATGAATGAAATGTATTTTAATTATTAGAATTCTTTATCATTAGAAAGTCCTTTTATCATTTCTATTTGTTTTAATAAAGCCAGTCACAACAACTATATCAAAAAATCAAGAACCTCGCTAGTGCAGGTTGAGCCTTTAACTCTCTTAAAAAAATAATATAAAGTTATAGTAATATTCGAATGAACAAAAAATAAATTTATTAAACTATAAAAATAGCCTTTTCATCAGGAAAACCAATCTTGTTTAAAGATAATTTAACACTCTCCATCATAGCTGGAGGACCACAAACCATAACTCTTAATTGACGTGAATTATCATTTGCTAAAAGTTTCATATATTCATGCCTTTCATTAAGAATTACCATTGCATTTGTTGTACTATAAACAGAAGAGTTTAAGTCAGGTGACCTGACTGGAGACCTAGATAAAGGACTTTCAGCTTGATCAATAGATGTTGGAGACATTGTAAATATATGATCATCAGATAGATTAAAATTATCATTATAAAGTTCTTCATGATTTGTAATCAATGTACTAAGTGGTTGAGGTGATTGTAATTGCATAAAATTTGGTCTTTCTGGGATTTCAGGAGGTTGTCGAACATCATAATTTGTACTAATCCAATTGTATAATAAATTATCATCGACAGTTCCTACATAGCCTCTCCACGTTGGTGGTGCTCTTGATATAATAAATTCTACATTAAATCTTCCATCACTATTTTCTTGAAGATATAAAAGATATTTAAGGCTAATTATATCAGCAATCGAATGATTGGCTGTGAGTAAATAAATATGAAATTTCGAATCTCGGTGATCTAAATGATATTGAATCTAGTATGGTATAGAATAA